CTCTCTCTCTCTCTCTCTCTCTCTCTCTCTCTCTCTCTCTCTCTCTCCCTTCCCCCTCTTCCTTTCTATCTGTCTCTCTGGTATATATGGAAAAATGCTGATATGTGATTATGAAGACAATAGTTAGAGGGTAGCAGCCATCATTTTAAGAATGCTGAGAGCCACAGAAGCTGAAATGCCAGGAGCCATAATGGGACAAGCTAATAATTAGCAGGTGATAATCCTGAAATGGCTTACCTTGGATTGTTATATAATCTGCGACAAGTGAATCCTTATCAGCAAGGCTGTAAGGGACTTATTTTAGGAAAGATTACTGCTATTAATATGCTCTTTCCTATTATTATTAAACATATGTAACAATCACTAAGCAATAGCACACCCCTTTGGAGCAGATCTCTGCAGATCCATGAAGATGTACTGTCTTGTGGCAATGCTATGTAGACAAATAGATGACTTCTTAAGTCTTAATGATGATCCTATAAGAATTCCTAAAACTATATCAATGATTATTGTTAAGCTCTTTTATAGTGGGACTGCTATTAGGTCCCTTACTGATACTCATAACTGCAATGAGAACTCCGCCAGGCTCCCAAGTGTCATCAGTTAATTGTTCTTAGATAGTAACCAGACTTTCTCATACTCAAGAGCACATTCCAAGACATTGTTAAACAATTAACCAAAGGTCACTAATAGGGAACTAATGACTTATTATAGGTGCTGAGACAGAAGATAAAATATTGACTGGGTTTATCTATGCAAAACTTAACTTATTAGTTATAGTTTTAAACCTTCAGTGAACCTGTGGAGCTGAGCTGGGTGACAGATGTTTAGTCAGATAATTACTCCTAATGGATATACATGTAAACATTCTCTGTTGTAAATTTCTATTTCAATTTATGATTTGATATTTGGTTTGACCTCGTGATGAACTTTGTAAAATGTGACCATGTATTCTGAAAGATGTATAAGTACTGAAGACAAAGAGGTTTGTCCGTCCCTTCCTTTCCTTTTCCCCTACCTAGGATTTTTTTCCCTTAGAACTTTCCCCTTATTAGATTTTTTCTTCCTTTTCCCCACTTAGGACCTTTCTACTTTTCCCCTTGACAGCTTTCATAGGAAAATTTTTACACTTAGTAATAAACTCTATAATAACTTCTCTAAGTGTTTTTTTCTTCCTGCAACCTCAGACTAGCAGGCATAAGTTAGGGCCTAGCAGTACCTGCTGAGAGAGTAAAAAGTCTATTTACTTAATCCTTTGCTGTTTTTGAGATGAGGTGATAAGTGCTAGAAACTGCAGTTTCTGGCCTCAGAGGATCACAGAAGGCAGGTCAGCTATAGAAGCATAGTAACGGAGATAAGTAAACTTTTATTATACAGCAACCCTAAATATCTCGTGAGACTATGTCTTACCCCCCCCAACCTGCCAACACTCTTTTGCCTCCACTGACTCAAGAAGAAATAAGAAGACTGCTCCCCACCCCACTCCCCCACAAGCCAGGGCTGGCCTCCAGCACTGAAAGATGCAGGAAATAATCTTCCTTTGGGGATTTAAGCAGGAGAACCACCTGCAGACACCTCAGTTTTACATTTCTGACTTCTAAGACTATAGAAGAAGCTATTTTAAGATGCTAAATTTAGGATAACTCATTATATAATCCATGGGAGAGTAATAGGCACCCATTATTCACCTAACAGTAGCAGACAAGCTGCAGCCCTTTATGTCCTTTTTTGAAAGAAAACTGTGAAATGTTTACAGATTAAAAGCACATGTTCATTATAAAATTATGTAATATAAAACTAATTATATATGTAAAATTACAGGAACAATTATAATTAAGTTCCTATCTTCT